CGTCCACTGGGTATGGCATGGCGTTGCAAAATGGAGTGATAGCCTTCTTCATTCGGAATCCCTTTTACCCTGTACAAATCTCCCACCTATTCAGCATCAAAGCAAACCCAGACCATCACATTAACTCCACCATGCTTAACAGATGGCATCAGGCATTGTTCCAGTATCTTTTAATTTGTTCTGCATCTCACAAATGTTCTTTTTTGTGATCCAAACACCTCAAACTTGGATTCATCCGTCCACAACACTTTTTTTCAACAACACTGACCTAAATCCAATGGAACATCTCTCGGACATTATGTTTCAATGATCCGACGCTGCCAGGTTGCATCTCAGACTGTCCAGGAGCTCAGTGATGCCCTGGTCCAGGACGCCATCTGTCGTGTCATTAGGAGCATGCCCCAACTTTTTCAGGCATGCATAAATCCACGTTGGGGCCATAGAAATTACTGAATACTATTTTGAGATGCTGCAATAAATTTCAGCAAAATGGACTAGCCTGCCACATAATTCTTTCACTGTAACCTTTGGGGTGTCTTTGAATTCAGCCCCCTGTAGGTAGATCATTTTAATTTACATCAAATGATGTGGCATCCTTTTGTTCCTTACCCAGTCCATATCAGTATAAATAAACAGCATGTTTTTTCCCCATTGAGATCTGATGTGTGTTCAAAGTGTTCCTTTAATTTTTTTTAGCAGTTTATATATAGATATATATATATATATATATAGATATATATATATATATATATATATATATATATATATGTGTGTGTGTGTGTGTATAGAGCACTGCTGATTCTGAAGGCCGTGGGCAGCTATGATTGACATGGAATGTGATTCGACAAAAAATATAACAACCACATAAATGTAATGGAAGCAACCCAGCCAAGATAAACGCTACAAAATTAAGAGAATGTATGGTTTGTAAGAAAATATTCAGCTGACTTGAAGGAAATTAAAGTTCAGGTTACGAATGCAGGTTAGTTTTCTGATTGATTTTAGTCCAACATAGAACGCTTTGAAGGCCCTGACTGCCCACAACTGTTGGAAAAGCAAGGGATCTCCAAAGTTTGGGAAAACTTGGGCCAAGCTGCATTGCTGGATGGGTCTGTGTTTGAATGACCCAGCCAGGAAGCTTTGTGCTTTTCGGTTTTCTGGTTTTCTATCTAAGTGTTGAACTTCTGAGTCACTCTTGTGGACTCAGAGAAAAGTTTAAAGACAGTCTGTTTACACACAGTTAGAGACTCTATGTGGCTTCAGCACTACTTAACTTGAGCAGAGCTTGAGGAATGAAGTCCATTTAGCCACCTTTTATTTTTTCTCTCAAAAATGATCAGTGTCTGAGTTGATACCTTTTTTCCCGAGCATGGTAGGTCAATTACCTTGTAGTGGATTAAGGTAGTTGTCTAACCCACCTGCAGAACACTCCCAGGAGACAACACTGTCTTTAAAAGGTTTATTTACACAGAACGTATGAATATTGCAGAGGTTGTAGAAGTCATCTTGGGACGGGAGTGGCAGAAGCTCTGGAAGGGCAGTAGAGCATGAATGGCAGGTTGATTTTGAATAAGGGAGCTTGAGAGTTCTTAATTTGGAGATCATGTGAATCTGCCAGGGAGGAGTTAAGATGTGATCTGGGTGTTGGCAGAAGGGTTGAATCCAAATGTGGTTGTGGCTGAGAAGGGTAGAAGAGTTTTGAGAGCACTTCACAGCAAGTTTGTCGAGAACCATCACGACAAAGGAGAAAACACATAAGGGTAGTGAAAACCAGAAAAAAAAATTCTAGGAGTCTGGATGGATAGGAGATACTACTTAGGGTTAACCATCTGGCACTGAAGTACTGTCAGCCAAATCCTTAAGTGGTATAGTGTTGATAAGGAACAAGTGCAGAGGAACGAAACCAACCACACTCCCAGATACTTCTGGATGGTGGTCTTGTAAACTGCAGCAAAAAAATACGACAAAACTCCCAGCCCCATCACAATATCCCTTTGATGAGTTTCTGTCAGCTGTAGGAACTGTGGTACATCAGAAAAACTGCCTCTTGCTGCGCCAATCTTCATGGGAACCCTCATTGGGCTTTGGTCACCAAATATTTAATTGTTCTTACTCACGTCTGAAATTTAGCAGGCATTTCTTTTTAAAAAAGTGGAGAAATATCAGGTGACAGAGAGCATGAGTGGGGTCTCTCTACACCAGCAGGTATGTCAGTTAAATCTTAGTTGCCTGCTAAGATTTAACTGGCTTCAGTTAGCATATATTAAGATGGCTTTAGTGTTTCCTGCAATTTATTGTATCAATTTTTGTTGCATTTAGTGTCAATGTGTGTGTTACACAAGTTTGCTGCCAAATAAAGGACGGTTATAGCGATATTGTCTTTTTCTTCATGCATATGTTATTTTTTATAGCTTTACTATAGTCTCTAGAATTTGCAAACCAGCTGATATTGTTGTTGGATTGCATACATTTAAAATAACTCATTGTCTCCAACTTCATCTGGGACTGGGTTGCAGGTTAGCTGTTTCAGCACAGCAGAGACTCTCAGATTGCCCTTTCCCCTGACACCTCCTCCAGCTCCTCTGGGAAAAGCTTGAGGTGCTCCAAGGCTAGCTTAGAGATGTAGTCCCTCCAACGTGTCCTGGGTGGTTCCCTGGGCCTCCTCATGGTGGGATGTTGGCATCTGAAAGAGATGTCTAAGCAAACACAGCTGACTCCTCTCTAAATGGAGAAGTGGGTCTATCCGAGGCTCTCCCAAATGTTTGAGCTCCTTACCCTGTCTCTTAGGGAATGCCCCACCACCCTGCGGAGAAGCTCATTTCAGCCACTTGTGTCAGAGATATTGTTTTCTTGGTCATGATTCTGATAGCAAAACCCTAGGTGAGGGTAGGAATATAGATTGACCAGTATATTGAGAGCTTTGACTTTTCACGCTATCTCTTCACCACAAGAGGATCTATCAGCCTCCTGCTCCACCTTCCCTCGCTCTTGAACGGGACCACAAGATATTTGAGCTCCTCCACTTAAGGAAGGAATTCTCATCCTATCTGAAGGGGACAGGTCACCTTTTTCTGATCGAGAACCATTGTCTAAGACTTGGAGAAGCTAATTTTCATCCCAGTCACTCCAAACTTAGCCTAGGTTGTCCTGATGCCAAGTTCACTGGTGGACATCCTTATGCTTGAACATTATGTTTAGCAGCAGAATCACTGTGTGTTCAGCCAGGTCCCACCAGGAAGAGCCCGACCACCAGGTCCTCGGTAATGAACCTTAACCCCAGGCCTTGCTCCTGGGTGAAAGCCCGCAACCTCCCCATCTATTTTTAAGCTGCTCTCCTTCATGTCATGTCTCAGTTGTTAAAAACTATGCTGATGTAGGCTCTTATTTTCTACTCATAACACTTTTTTCTATTTTTGGGTACTTTCTCTTTCCTTGGCAAAGAGCATGGATGGGCCTCCATTACAACAGAAAACAAGAAGTAAAATTATCTACTGTCATTTTTTTTTTTTTTTTTTTAATACTCCTCCAACAACAACGGCTGTTAGCTTTGTTCTGATGGGTTAAGGCACTAATTAAATTGACCTTTACACCCACTATGGGTTTGTATGAAATTTTTGCTAGAACTGTAAACCATAACAAAGTTTTGCAAATAGCCCAGATGCAGTCAGCTGTTGGAGCAGCAGACACAAAAAGCTGAAGCAGATTCTTGAATATTTAATTAACCAAAAGGTTAATTAAATATTCAAGAGGTGGGGGGATGATGACAAACCACCAAAGAGTGACTGAACAGGAGGAGAATATATATTGGAGAGAGAAACAAAGACCAGGCTAATTAGCAGATTGGAAGCAGGTGTGAACAGAAGCAAGACAGGAGCTAGCGAAAAGGAGACTAACACAAGAGGTCAAACAAAAAAATATCTAGGAACTCAAATACAATCAAAAATACCTAGAACAGAAGAATGGCAATAAGACCAATGAAAACTCAGAGATAAAACTTGAACAAAACCAAGACATGACCAATATTTATATGGAAAACCGTTGGTTACAAATCAAATGTGGGACAGCATGTGAAAGTTATTCAAATATTTTTTTTGTTTTGTTTTAGGAAGAATGAACAGATTTGGGCCATTTAGACTGCCATGGGTGGCATGTAGGTAAAGAAAAACTGACTTGGGTTTAATTTACCTGGTCTTTGAATTTGGACTAATTTACACAGAAGGAGACAAACTAAGACACAAAAAAAAATTTAACCAAAAAAGAAAAGAATTACAAAGGTCAGAGGTAAATGTATGTCAATTCACAAAGAACAGAGCACTAGAATGAAGAAACTAAACACACAAACCACCCACCATGCTGCCCTATGGTAATAACATTTGTAACATTAATAAACAATGCTGAAAAAAAGCAAACCCAGGAGTGTCAATTTGCAAGCATAGCTGGTTGCATCAGCAGTATCACTTTAGCCAGATCCAAAAGACAACATTGGTCAAAAATTGGATAGAAGAGCTGATGACTGAGCTGCTGCTTTTAAGCTTCTTCTTAAAAGAAGCTTAAAAGATTTAGGACACTGTTGAAGGACTTGTGATGTAGAAATATTAACAGCCAAGCAGCAAGCTCAGAATAAAGCTCCTTCGTACCTGTACATCAACATCAGTGTCATCTTATCTCTCCTACCACCGATCCAGGTTATTCCCATATGTTATTATAATGACATTGTTTTTTTTTGTGAAAAACTCATTTGCTGTATTGTTTTAGAAATATAAAATACTCCTCTGGAGAGGAAAAAAGAAATGTTAGGGTTTCACATTGTTTTTTTCACCTGTCTGACCATCTGATAGTAGCTTGGATATGGTTTATTTTATTTAATATTGTTTATTTGACAACTTATCATTTTTATTTAAGAGATATTATATCTGTTATTGTTTTTGTTTTGTTTTTTCATTTTACTATGTTAAAACATTGGATTTGATCAAATAATTAATTTCTTATATTTATTTTAGTGATCTGGACAGTCTGCCATGGTTATACTGAAGGTGAGACACTGATTCTATCAAACCTTTTTCTTTTTGTATCTATATCATTCTTATTTTTGTCGAATCTCAAGGTCTCTTTTCTTTTGGGTTATGGTATAATGACTTTATTCTTGAGTCTGTTAGAAGATATCAAAGTAAATATTAGTATACCTGCATGTTACATGCAAACAATCAAGGTAATTCCTGCTATTTTTTTAATTTTTGTCAATATTCTTACAAAAAATGTGTATGTCAACAGTCTCTAAGCCAACAGTGATCCAACAGCCCAGTGGGTCTAACATATACAGAGGAGAAACAGTCACTCTGAGATGTGAGATCTATGAGGGTGGAGGAGCTCAGTGGAAGGGAGACCAACCAATGGATATACAAGATATTTTTTTGAAATTATTCACCCGTAATCCAGATGTATTTGAGAAATAGGACACATACAGGAATAAAACATTCCATTACATGTTTGAGAGCAGCAACATTTATTTGTAATAAATTCTACATGAATTAAGTCTGCCATTCAAAGTTTGCTCAACCATAACAACCAGTTATTCTTTCATCGTGAATGATTGAATTACTGAAAAGGCATTTCTAAAGATTGGTAATTGTGTTAAAAGAGCCTCCCACCAAAGTATGCAATAGTATGGTTACATTTTTTCAGTTTTTTTCTTACTTTTTCCTTTAAACCTAACAGCAGATAAACCCAGAGCCACACTGAGAGCAGAGAAAACAATCATACCACTAGGGGGCAGTGTTAGACTGACCTGCTCTGTGGATGGATCTGCTGACTGGAAGTTCGACTGGTTCAGAAATGGGAAACAATATGCTGTCCGGACCAGAGGAAACATTGAGCCATACAGAGTCATCAGTATCTCAGAGGGAGGTCTATACAGCTGCAGAGGAGGAAGAGGAGATCCAGTTTTTACAACAGAAACAAGCAAAGAAATCTCTATTAGGAAAACTGGTGAGTTTTGCACTTCATTCTAAACTAAAACAACAAAGTTGATCTAATTTTCGATTAAACCCCATTGATCTTACTTCCAATATTTATTTCAAGATCAAGCCTTTGATTGTTTTATTTCGCTATTTTGATGTTAAAATGTGGAATTACTAATTACCTTAATAATTTATGTATTACTGAAACAAAAACAAAACAAATAGAAAATATACTTGGAACACTTTAGTTTTTAGTTGAATTAAATTAAAATTGAAGGAATGTTTAAAGGGTCCAGCCACATATGACACACATACCTATGAAAGAAGAGAAAATCCATATAGTTGTGTTAAGCTAAAGCAAAATAAACCAGACATCAGTACTTATAGTCTTTATGTAGTTCTTTATGTAGTTATTTTTTAACCAGGCACTATCAGCAGACATAAACATTGTTTTATGCTGCTGCCATCTGCTGGCAGTATTCACTCATGCATCATTAAAGCAGTTTTAGCTCCCACTTGAGTGATCACCCATGTTCATATTGTATTCCAAGCAGGGCCGGTTCTAGCCCTTTGGTTGCCCTAGGTGAGATTGAGTTTTGCGCCCCCCCCCCACCCCCCATCACTTTTGCTGTGCGAAATACCAGTACTGTTTTCAGCATCTGTTTAGTGCTTCATTGAGTTGTGTTTACAGTTCCACAAAGAGTGCTGTGCGGTGAATTGTGCCTACAGTTGTGCAAAGTGTGTGTTACAAAATTGCAAATTGAGTGCAAAGCAGTGTTTGTTCTTTTAGTTTTGTGAACTCAGTGAGTGGATTTGCTATAAGTATTAATAGTTTTAGAAATTGTGCTATAAGAATCAAGGTTGTGTTTAAGCATTCAGAAAAAACTGTAACTTAGCATGGAGTGATGCATAGACAAATACCAGAATAGGTTTCAGTACCTTTTCTTTTTTATTATTTTAAATAATTTATTACACACTCAAAGTTAGGACTGTGCAAAAACACTTTTAACCATCTGTAAGGACACTTAGGTAAAGTATAACTAAAAAACTGGATTGAATCATTGAATGAATTTATTTCAGACAATTAACAAATTTAACACACATTAAACAAATATTAAATAAATCAATTTCAGAAATTACCAAATAACAATAAAAAATAATAAATTTAAGAAATTCTTCAACCAAGGACTACATAAAAAAGTAATTGATAAACATTAAATTAAATTTTCTGTTCCAGTTCAATTAAATCATTTCAACATAAATAGTGTAACACAAATAGAAATGAGATAAACACAATTTTCCTCTAAATAAAATATATCAGGTATATTTACCCTGATTTCTGACATTGATTAGTGATTAAAGAAAGGATTAACCCTCTACAAACAAAAGTGCTTTTATGAATACCATTACAAAATTAAAAGTTTGAAGTTGTTTTTTTTTTTTTTTTGTTCACATATTCTATGATGAACAGCCATAACTTCATATATTTTGATGATTATTTGTACATCCCTTTTGAATACTCAATGCAGATAATCACTGCAAAATATTTTATTTATATTAGTATCTTCTACCCATTCTCAAGCTAATAATATAGCACATAATTCTGCTGCATATATAATGAGAAAAAAATGATGTCAACATTAGGGATGGGGATCGTTAATATTTATTGATATCGATACCTTTATCGATACTCCTTATCGATCCGAGTCTTTATCGATGCACTATCTATACTTGTCTGTTATTTGGTGGAAAGACGATGCAACAAAATTTTTTTAACAGAACTGGTATTGCTTCTATTGCTTAACAAGTGAGCATAACAAAAACGTTTCTAGCCTTCAATAAACATGGCTAATGTAATAGGCCACTTCGAAATGACATAAAACTAACTAGAATATATTTTCACAATTGTTGGTTAATGTATTGTCTACTGTCACTTTTCATCATGTTTTTAGTGATTAGGAAAATATTTAACAAATAAATAATTGTATTTTAAATTAAATGTAATTTTTAATAAATGTTGGCATCAGTAGTTTAATTATATATTCTAAAATAATTAAAGCAATATACAACTGTTTTACTCACGTTTCTCGCCAAAAACAAAATTTCCCGTTTTCTTTACGTTACACTTGAACGCATCATGATAACCTAATTGGCGTTTTACTGAGCCAATCTGAACACATCATCACTCAGCACGTCTGAAACTTTATTTACTTTTCAAGCTAGCTTGTATGCTTCCGATTACAAGACGGATTTCACAATTAATATTTTTAACTGACCGGACAAGCTACAAAGTCTGTGTGCGCTTACCAGTGGTACTCTGAGTGGATGATTAAGACTGGCCCGACTGCGGCGGCAGGAGGAGGAGGAGGAGTCTTTTCCATTCAGCCATTCTCGCGTCGCGAGCAAAGTTAAGTGCCAGACTTCACTTGTTTTACTTTTAATATCTGTTTGCTTACAATTTCATTCCAAAATATTGGTGTACATGCTGCAGTGATTGACGTCACGACTTCCGGGTTGGAGGGCGCTTGAAAAGTGATCAGAATCTTTTCCGATTTTCTCTTAAATGTGAAAAAATAAATAAAAAAACGGTGGTATATTTATTTGTTCATATTTTTCTATTTATATATACGTAAGGTTAAGTCAAACTGATGGACGCTTCATAACCGGTTTAATTTGCTTTTTTTTTCTAATTCTATAATTAATGGGAAGTAAGCCTATGGGCGACGCTAAAGGGCGCCCCCAACACATTTGTCGCCCTAGGCAATTGCCTAGCTCGCCTATAGCAGTTGCCGGCCCTGATTCCAAGCACTACCTCTCTATATCGAAATGGGTTTCACTAGAGATTAATCAGAATGCTGCTATGGTGATACTACAGTACTGCAGGATTTTAATGCAAAATTATATGAAATCAATATCTTTTCATCAACACTTTAAACATTTAAAGGAGTCATAGAATGCAAAACCGAGTTTACATTGTCATAGATGAATAACGATAGTTCAGTGGGTGAAATGGACGTACAGAGAAGTTCAAACCCCATCGACACCTCCTTTCTCTGCAAATCTCACAATTCTAAACTTCCACCATAAAACAGGTGAATCCAAACAAAGCCCCCAATTGACGTCAACTCTGGGATGTTGCCTTATTAGGTTCTGGCCTGTACTTTTGTCATGCCACGAAATTTACATACAGACCAGCCCACTGGTTCACTGGCCCAAGAACATGAATAGAGGTCGCGAAAATGTAAGACACTAGATTAGCTGTTTAGCCTACAGTTGCGTTTACTTCTACAAGAATTACAAAGCAGCCAGTTTCTCTATTGAAAATAGATGCTGGGCCGCTGACTGGACCAGACCTCAACAGAGAGCCATGAGCCGCCCATCCTCACCCAGAGGAGGGGGGCTGGGGGCTGGCAAGGCAAGGGGTGGGGGGGGGGGGGGGTGTTTAGGGTGTCCAGGCTACTGTCACCAGGTCGGGTACATTCGCTCCCTGCCCCCGTCCGCCGGGATTCCCAGACCAGCCCCGGAGCTGACGGCTCGGTTTGAATGCCCGGTGTGTTTCGACTACTTGCTGCGCTGCAGTCGACCAAAATCTTGCACGATTTGGAAATTCCCTCCGGACATTATTTTAGCTATGAAACGTAGGACATGTCCAGAAAAAGGAGGACGTCTGGTCACGCTACCATATCAACAATTTGATGTTTCAGTGAGTGATTGCTTGTTGCTATAATGCGCCTTTGCTCAGCAGCTTTGCTCATTGTAAACCAACCAATCAGCGCACAGCTCATCTAAATATTCATGAACATACCGTAAAAGGAAGAAAGCCTGTTGTATCATTCAAGGACTTTTAACCAGGGTTGCTTTAGGGCTCATAGAACAGCAAATATGTCATTTTCAGCCCGACCAATGCTACACACCCTTTTCAGAGACCTTAAGGAGCAGCACCAAATACCCAATATAATCATTCTATGACCCCTTTAACATACACCAATGATGATTATTCTTATCCATTACCTAACAAAAGTGATGCCAAAGTATTCTCTGTTTCAGCTGTTGTGATATCTGAAGTGTCACAGTCTTGGTTCTGCTTTGTTTTCTTTCGAGTATTCAGTTTTACTTTGCTCCATGTTTCTAGTTTTAGTGGTTTAATTCTTATTTTGTTGTGATCTCTGGTTATTTTTCAGTATTCAGGTTTTTATTTTTTGCCCTCTGCTGCCCTCTTGTGTTAATCTCCTTTTCCCTAGCTCCTTTCCTGTCTGCTCTGTTCACACCTGCTCCCAATCTGCTCATTAGTCCTGTTCTTGTTCAGTCTCCTATAAATACACTGCTTATGCAGTTCTTCAGTGTTGGTTCCTCGTCTAACTTCGACCTCCACCATCTTACAGTGTCTTACCTTGTCATGATTGCTTTCCCCTGATGTCCCCATGGTTTCTGCTTTGTTTAACTTTTTTTCTTGTTGGATTTTTGGATTCCTGTCTCAGTCATTTGTTTACCTCTCATTAAATCTTCAAAAACTCACCTCTGCCTCCCTGCCTCTGCATTTGGGTCCTCAAACCTCGACCAAACCCTGACATGAAGGGATTAAACAAACATTCTTACAGTGTAATGTGTGTTGAAAACCTAAGCGCTTTGAATTTTAACAAGTCTTTTTATGAACTAAAATCTGTAATTCAATTATATAAAGATGATACTTCAAAGCACCATTCATGTTGTGTCCAGACCTTTAGACATAATGACTTTTCTATTTTAATATTGATACAGGAGTTTACAGCATCAACATATCTAACATATTTGATTCAAATTGTTGACTTATCTTGCCACAGTACATACATACTGTATACCTAATTTTATCCACATGTCAATTATTTAGAAAGTTTCAGTTTTATCCTATCCACCTCACCTGGTTTTCACTGAGGCAGGAGCTGAAGCTGCCAAAGTTTGTAAGATGATGGTGAGGCTGCACAGCAGAGTTTATGTCTATTAATCGGAATTGACAAGAAAATCTCTTTATGCTCAAAAAGAACAATGTCTAATGTTTAGGGTCTCCCCTATAGGCATAGAAGGTGATTAAGCCCCCGTTTATTTTTCTGTAAATCACATGTATTTACAATACATTTTAATCAGATCACATTTTTCCACATATAACCCTAAGATCACACTTACCCTAACCCTACAATAACCCTAACCCCTCACTTAACCCTGCAAAAAAAACAAAAAAAAAACAATGCAAATATTTTACTAACTTTTTTAATTTTTATATTGTTTTTCAGACTCTCATCCAGCTGCTTCTCTCTCAGTGACTCCGGACAGAGTTCAACATTTTATCTATCAGTCTGTCACTCTGAGCTGTCATGGGAACAACACTGAGTGGAGACTGAGGAGTTTTAGAGAAACAGGTGGACTACCACACATCCACTGCTCCAGCTGGGGCATAATGAGTGGATTCTCATATACTATAACCCCAGAATGGTCTCACAGTGGAGTGTACTGGTGTGAGTCTGGATCAGCAGATTTTAGCAACGCAGTCAACATCATTGTACAGGGTAGGTTATGATTTATATTTCCTTTCACCTTTTCCTGTGTTTCCACATACTGTAAAAGCTGCAGTTACTGTGAACATAACATTCAAATCAAGAGACTGATATGCTGTACTTGCTCTCCAAGAAAACTTAGAAGTAAATAAAAAAGGAGGTAAAAATATTTTCTTCCTTCAAAATCATTCAGCTCAGCTTCCTTCTTTCACTTTTCTGTTTTTCCAACATTTGGCTTCATGTGTTTAAAGGTATACTATGCAACCGGTGTTGATTTTCCAGCGAGGCTCCCCCCAGAGGGCGAAAGTAAAAGTGCACTGTCGTAAATATGCACAGCTGTTCTCCTGGTTTCTCCGTCAAGCCAGGCGCGGTTGTTTTGAGCTTAGCAGACAGGCGAACGCAACGAATGACTAATGCTGCGTTCACACCGCAGCTGGCGCGACAGAAGCAGCGAGTTTACATGCAAAGTCAATGGTTGACGCGCGTCAAGGCGCAGCAAAAGGTCCCGCGGCGCGTTTTGAGCAGCAGGCACAGCAAGTCTGAGCAGCTGAAGCAGCGCGTCGGGCGCGTTTAAGCATCTGACGCAGGGAGAGAGACACAGCGCTGATGATCACTCCTCTTAAACAGTTTATTGACACCTAAATTAACTTAAAATTCAGAAATCTGCCGGCAGAATATGCAGTTTGGATTATTTAGATGAAAAACACCTACCAGCTGCCGCGGTGAGGCGTGCTCCCGCGACTGGGGATGCATATTTCGGCAGGCATGCACTTTTGGGCATAACACCGGCCAGAGGCTGCTGATGAAGGGATCCCTACTCTCGGCGCACCACTGGTATGTGGGGGTCTGAGCTAGCCTGACGTAGTCCGACTCAATTCTAGTCAGAATATGAGTCTGATACTGCTCCATAGAGCTGTGATTATGGGGCGTGTTTCAAACGAACCAGGAAAAAAAAATGCCTCTGCACTCAATTGGATAGACCTACAACCAATAAGAGCAACGGAGTGCGTGACGTATGTTAAGCGAGGCATAGTTGTTGTCCACAAAAATCAAAGCGTGCAGTTTCACGCCTAGAATAAGAAGATGAGCCTTGATCGCGTTTCTCTGCTCCTCTTTTAAAATTAATTTGCTGTCGATATCTTCTAGAACAGACCTAATAGCAGAATCTACTCACCCAAACTCTCCAGCGGCAGCCATTGTTGTTGTCACCCAAGCGCGCTTTGGTCACGTGGTTGATTACGTTACTGTTGATCATCTGTCCATCATCGTATAAAGCCCGCCCTGACAATTTGATTGGATCGCCTGACAGTGGGCGATAATACTCGCGCTACTATGGAGCAGAGCCAGACCGAATTTCCCCGAACTCAAACCTTGTGGGCGGGACTAAGTTCGGACTGGGACCCAGGCTAGGTCTGAGCAGCTCCGACAGAAAAAATATTGAAGGCAAGATAATAATCTGAATGAACTGACGGCACTGATTACGTTTTCAGGTGGATTTTCTCACTTAAACACATATTAAAACTACTTTATTCCCACTGATCACAGCAAATATAGCTGCAAGGCAGAGAAAGGATAGTGAAGCTCCGCCCAACGCGCGTCAGACACACTTTTGCACCGCGCAGCCAGAGCAGCAAAGCTGCTTCAGGCGCGCGTCAGAACTAACTGGTACAAGCAGCAAAAATGAAGCAGCAGACGCGATTTTGCTGCTTTTGCTGCATGAACGTAGCATAACTGCACAAAGATCGCCACTGTGCTAGCAACGAGAATGCTTTTAACTGGGGGCGTGTAGCAGTTCTCACCGTAAAGCAAGACTAACTCTCGCGAGACTTCTGAGCCTGTGGGTGCGGGTCGGTGCTCCATTGCAAGTGCGGTATTTCCCCCACAGACCACCAGGGCGGCCGAGAATACCTTTGTTCAACCTGAAATGACTCATTTAGTCATCCAAAACGATATGGAACACATTAATTAACTGAAAAATGTTGCATAGTGTGCCTTTAAGTAAATGTTTGCTTCAAGGTAGTCTTGAAGCAAAAATAACAGATGAATCCTCTTCCTGTGGAACAGAGAACCTGAAACAGAGTTTATAATAGATGAACAGAGAATTCTTCGCTTTCTAGAATGAAGTTTCCTTTAAGTTTCTATCATCTAATAGGTTTTGTAACTCCAAAGGGACAAGACTGACTTGGCTTCCTTTAGACAGGCTCTTTTTTTTTCCCATGAAAACTATAGAGATCAAAGACAAAGCTTTAGATATAGATGCATTTACAGACAGTCAGGTGACACGTGCTTTAACAAAAATTATCTCTTGACTGCCTGAGGTCGTCCACTCTAAATTAAAATATCAAGTAAAACACCATAATTAATAAATTTACAAAATATTACAAACATAACTACAAAATACTTTGAACGCTACAGGAAACACGAGGCTGCTACACGTAGCTTTGTTCCAGACTTCTGCTGTTTCTCTGTGTATTCAAGTCTTGTAGCCTTTCAGATATACACAAATCTTGCGATAACTTAAAAAAAAAATAGTTTGATACTAAATTAAATAGAATCATAATACACAAATCTCAAAACCTGAATCAAACAACTTAAAAAACATTATCTTAACTATTAGAAAACAAACATACATTTTCCACAAAATAAATTATTTCACTGACACATATTTCTTTTTTTCATCACAAATGTTAAGGATCTACTGATTAATACCTGATAGCCATAGTTTTTATTTTACTTTATAGAAGATGTTTTTAAGATCTGATTCAGGTGAAGCAAAACCTGCCACCTGAGGAGTTCTTGTTTTGGAGCATTTACACACAAAGAAATATTTTCATCCCAAATCATCCAAATTATCATATATTTTGTACAGTTTTGGCCTATTTCCTTCTCAGATTGACTTTTTCTTTCTCTGATGGACATGTTTTAGACACTATATACTCCAGTTACTAATTATTTGATTGTTGGTTAACTGATGCTGTGATTTTGTTTAAGATTAGGAACTTAGATAGAGCAGAAAACAGTTTTCGATCCAGATGTCACACAAAACCTATAGTTTTCCAGGAGAATTTTAATAAAATTAAATAAAAACATGATAAGATGAAACCCTCCTTTCTAATCTTAACAGGAAAAATAAGTGGATTATAACCCCCACATTTTACCTTCAAATATTAAATCATTACCTGAAACATGAAGAGAATAATCCCAAATCTCAAGATCATAAATTATTCATTCCAATGTTTAATTATAGGGACCCTTTTTCGTAATGAGCTTAAATTCAGAACGATGAAGGATTTCTGTGAAACTGAGATTCTTGTATTGTTAGTAAAAGCTGCTCTGTCCATTAACTTGGTTTAACTACTAGTGATAAAAAGCTCATTTTCAAATATGCAGAAAATAATACACCAGCTGATTGTTGACCAAAACTTGATTATCTTGACTGTTTCACAGATAAACATTATAGTATTATCCTGGTGAGCCCCGTCCATCCTGTGACTGAGGGAGATCCTGTTACTCTGAGCTGCAGAGATAAAGAACAAAAACTTCTCTCCAATGTGTTTTTCTATCACAATAACAAACTGATCCATAATGACAGCAGAGAGGAGCTGAAGATCTCTGCTGTGTCAAAGTCAGATGAAGGTTTCTACAAGTGTGAACATTCAGGAAAGGAGTCACCACAGAGCTGGATGGCTGTTAGAGGTGAGAGGATGAAAACATTTAATGCAGTTGATTCACTAAAGCTTTGTTTTCAGGGAAAATTTAAATCCCCTGATTTTCTTGTAACTGTATTTATTAAGAGATGGGCACTATAAAACAAGCAAAAAAAAACTATAATAATAATGTATTCCTGTAACTACTGATAAACTAAATATATGGCAGGAAGAATATTGTGCTCAGGAATGAATGGCTGTCAGCGTGGTTGTTTTAAATAGGCACTGTTACAGTGTATTCTGTTCTTTAATTTATTGTCAGTGTATAATGTGCTTTCCTATCTTTAATTTTTCTTTGTTACAGTGACTCTGTCCAGTCCTGTTGACTCTTCATTTGCTGTGCTGATGATTGTTGGACCATTTATAGGAATAATTCTCATTATCCTGCTGCTGCTGTTGTGGTGCTACACACGGTCCAAAGGTGAGACGCTTCTTTCTCTCATACTGTGGTGGACTATGTCGTGAATTAAATACTTAAACAACTAAATAATTTAAATCTATTTCACTGCTTTGACAAAACTGAGAAAGGAAATAATTTGTATCACAATACAATAAATTCCCTCTTTTTGTCCACAGATTTCTGCTGCATCAGGTCAGTACATCAGTGTTCACTTTCCTCTGATCTTAACATTCATTGTCATCTATACTTTGAATTTAAGTTTAACTTTTAACATAATTTAGGTCAGAAAGCAGCAGTCAGAGCTCCACCACCAATCATGGAATCAACCAGACAGACAGCCAAGTTTACAGCTCTCTGCTGCACGGTTAGTAGCTTTGTTTTTTATTTAGACTTTGAAATAACTCCCTAAAATCTTTGATTTAATGAATATTTAAAACACCCATATTTGAATTTGTTCCGTGAATGAAGGAAAAGAAGTTATACCGGATTTACACCTGAATTTAGCTAAATTGAAATCTAAATATTGAGTATAAAATATAAAACATGTTACCTTTACTCTGACTTTGACCTTTTTTTGTTTTGCAGGTGATACTTCTGAGTATGAGTCAATCCAACGGGCCACAAACAAAGGTAAACTATATTTCTTGAAGCAGTAAGAGATGCAAAAACTGGCTGATTTCAGTTGACAGATTTTAATGCTTTGAAATATTATTTCTTTATTAAGTATTTCTTTAATAATTTCAAAGTTCTTACTTAATGAGCTTCAACATGAAAATAAAAGTTTCTCTAACACATTAAAAACATGAAGAGATGTATATTTTTAGATCTGAATACTTCTGCCGAGATCCTATCAAACACCTTGCAAGAAAGTTGAATTGTCGTGAGATATGTGAATTAAACTCATTGAAATACATCTTGCCAGGAGCAAACACGCCTTTGGTCTTAATACAGAATGTTTTTAGCCAATGAAATACGTATGACATGAAACATGTCAATCGGGGGCAGAAGGTTGAAGCCAAGAAATATGGATGTGTCCGTGTTAGCTGGAATACCCCACTGATCTCTTTATTCACTGAATACGAGTTGCTGTGAAGTCACCAGCCACCATATTGGTACTCCCTAGTTAGACCACTGATCTCTGTTTATTCATAGACATCAGTTAGTTCGACCAGTAAACAATAGATGCACTACAGCATTGAACAATGATGATTTTCTTATTTTGAGGGAGCTTAAAACTTTTAGAATAAAGATAAATTCATCACTTTTACACACACACTTGCTGTTTCATAGCATCAGTAGATTACTGTAATTTATGTAAAAAAATAGGCTCATCACATTGCATAGTCAGTATAAAGTCTATTATGTATATAAATCATCATACAAATCCACCACAACACACACTATCCGATGATGTGGCAATAGTGATAAATTGATTATTAACATGTATCGTATATATTGTGTATGTATTAATACTACCTACCTACCTAGTGTCGATGTGAAAATTGTTGCGTTTTCCCCCTGACCAGATTTGGTAAGAGTTTGATTATTCAGCTAACTCTGCCAGCTGTAAAACCAAACTAGAATTGTAATCACTCTCCCTCCCTTTTGCCAACACTTTTTATGGGAGCCCTTCTACATCTATACATATAGTTCCATTTGAATGCTACACAGTATGATTTGAGCTAATGCCAAGATAATAAAATAGTCCTTTAATAACAATATTTGTTTGCTTGTGAAAACCAGAATCAGCAGCTATGAGAAAAGATGTTTTAACATTTTTCACCTTTAGATATTCTTTTCTTTGTTATTTTTTAATCATTAACAGGGAGCCCTGATGACCCAGATGAGGATCCTGTTTACACTAATATTGAAGCAGAAACCACAGGTGGGTGCTTTCAGCTCCAACAGCAGTATTACTTAAAAAAAAAAAAGAAAAGGTGATTAGTTATGTTACTAGTTAGTTCTTAACAAAGTAACTAAGTTAGTAACCTAGTTACTGCATAATCATAGTAACAAGTTACTGGTAAAAGTACTTATGAAGTTACTTTTTATGATTAAACATGTTGAAGACTTTGAAAAAGTTTCCTGTTAACATTCATAATAACGCTTTTCCTTTCCTATCAATGAGCACAAAAATATTCAAAATATTGCAAGTCTTTTAAATGTTTGAAGAAATGTTCAATATTTTTATATCTTTTCTCTTCTTTACAGGAAGGTAGACTCCAGAAGCAGAACATGGAGCTGTTTATTCTATGAAACATCTGGAAAGCAATAACAGACATACACTAATGTTTGAACAACTATAAACATTTTTTTGTGGATTTTAATACTTGTCACATAAAAATGTGTTTATTTCAGATATTTTATCTTAGTATCAGCTTTTCAATTAAATGACGAAACATCAAGATCAACAACAGTCATCAGTATACACTTTATTTTTTAAGTAGACATATATTATCAAACATTTAACTTGGATATAAATATATTGCTTTGTTTTGCTTTTGTATTTTTTCTTTTCAGCCATTTTCATCTTCAAAATCTGTTTTTACCAGGACACTTTTTGTTGTCTACTAATCAGCACCCCAACTCTTTAACCCAATAAAAACAAACTGAATGTATATCTATGCAAAATTAGATTTTATGTAAATAAATTATGGTGAGGTTGCAGCTCTTTAAGATTTTAACAGAATAATGATCATTTTGTTGTTTACTATGTTTATTGTGATGTGTTACAGTCAGCAGGTAGTATGTAAATAAGTGAATGTTTAATGTTTTGTGTTTTACATGCTAACCAAAAATGTATTTAGAAATATTTCCTTTTTATTAAAGGAGAAGTTCGGTTTTTTACACTTTAAGCCCATTTTCTGTAGTGTCCAGGATGAAATCGAATGATCGACACCAAAAGTTTGACAATTGCTCCTGTCTCTGCTTTTTGGCTCATTTAGAATCCACCCCTGGCTGCTTTAGAATGGCTTCCATTGTGCATGTCCGATAATGTCCTTAAAACAACCTTAAACGTTCTTTTTTTTTAAATATGCTACTCACCGGGTCGTCAGCGCTGTTCAATGACGTTCCAAAAAAAGTTTCGTAAAGAAAAAACGTTCCTGTAGTGTTTTATTTAGCATTTTGTAAATCCCATTGAGTTCTGTTGGAATAGTCAATATTCCCCTGCCACCGGAAACGGAAATGGGGCCTGTTTACACAGTTGAAGTCTTTTCGCTTCACTCTGTGTACTCCGACGTTGAGAATCAAGAATCCACCTTTCGTATTCCATTTTCAGAGTTTTTTAAAGTGTTTAACAGAGACGTTAGCACCTCGACGTCGGAGTACGCAGAGTGAAGCGAAAAGACTACAACTGTGTAAACAGGCCCCATTTCCGTTTCCGGTGGCAGCGGAATATTGACTATTCCTACAGAACTCAATGGGATTTACAAAATGCTAAATAAAACACTACAGGAACGTTTTTTCTTCACGAAACTTTTTTTGGAACGTCATTGAACAGCGCTGACGACCCGGTGAGTAGCATATTTAAAAAAAAGAAAGTTTAAGGTTGTTTTAAGGACATTATCGGACATGCTCTATGCAAGCCATTCTGGAGCAGCCAGGGGGTGATTCTAAATGAGCCAAAAAGCAGAGACAGGAGCAATTGTCAAACTTTTGGTGTCGATCATTCGATTTCATCCTGGACACTACAGAAAATGGGCTTAAAGTGTAAAAAACCGAACTTCTCCTTTAAAAAATGAAAACCCTTCTTTTGTTGTTCCTAATAATTTTTTTATATGTCCCCATTGTTATTTTGTATATTTATATATATTAAAGAGCTTCAACTCTTTGCAATTGACTTAGACTAAGACAAACTTTGTCATTTTTTGTACACAGAGTGTATGCAAAATGAAATTTCGTTTTGTACAGGTCTCAGGACATTTGCGTTTGTTAAAGAGCAGCAGTAATGTAGTATCAAATGTAAACATAGGGAGAAAAAAAAAAAACATGGTGCAAAGAAATGCATTGATATGATCAGTTTGATGCAGAGACTGTGATATTATTTACAGTTGCGTTATTTTTTCAACATTCAGCTTTTTTCCAGTTTTTCTCTTTTTTTTTATTATTTTTTTCAACATTGAGCTGTCTTATGGTAGTAGAGAAGAAGCTGTTTTGGAATCTGCTGGACCTGCACTGAATGCTGTGAACCCTCTTCCCATGTGCCATGACCCTAATCTTGAGCTTCCTCCACAGGTTTTCTATCACAGAAATGCATCAGTACACTGCCAGATGTGGCAGGGGGAGGACATTTTCAATAAAAGATGGAAAAAGGTAAACAGTCATCAATAATCAGGAAAGAGATTAGATCAGTGACATAATAATTGTTGTGTCAGGCTCGAAACCTTGGACCCAATAATCAAACAGACAGATCTGGATGAGTTCTAACAGTCTTTATTAATTAACTGCATGCGGCTGCTCGTCAGCTGGAGTGGATAAACCGGATCCTCTGTGGAAACAGAAACTCAGGTCAGTGAATAAGAATAAATAGCTGGTAACGACTAAGAGCTATGGTCACTGACCTGGTTCAGAGTTCAGTCCCAGAGGGATGTGAGGAATCCGGGAAGGTGATTGTCCTCCGCTTGCGGCAGGTGCCACCCCCTGAGCTTTGTGAGATGAGCAGAGATGAGCGGAGCTGATGCCAAGCAACGCCGGGGAGCAGTTGTGTCCAGAAAGAGAAATCGAACCGAAGTCATAACAGAACCAAGTTCATAAACCACAAGATCTGAGAGCCGATGACGTACCGATGAGGGAATCCAAGCCATGGTCAGGAAATCAGTCCAGGTTCGGTAGCAAGTTAAATCCAGGAAACAGTCCAGAACTGATCAGACTAATAGAGCAGACAGGGGAAAATTCGGGATCCACAAGACAGAAACTAGTCACAATCAGAATAAACAGAATTATGATCAAACTCTGCAGTTACTCTCACCAAACAGCTAGAATAGCTGCGTCCCCAGGTTCACTACCAATCACATTGCGAAGTTTGCAGACGTGGACCTGGACTACCGAGAGGAGGTGGAGCAGCTGGTGGACTGGTACAAAGAAAACAGCCTGATCCTGAACATGGAAAAGACGAAGGAGATCATATTGGCCTTCCGGAAGAACCGGCCTAACCACACTCCACTGTTCATCAACAGCTCAGCTGTAGAGGTGATCAGCAGCACCAAATACCTTGGGGTGCACATCACAGACAACCTCACCTGGACTGTAAACACCACTTCACTGGTCAAAAGGGCACAGAAGCGCTTGTACTTCCTGCGGAGGAGGAGGAGAGCCCACCTGCCCCCACACATCCTCACATGCTTCTACAGCAGCACCACAGAGAGCGTTCTGACCAGCTGTCTCACTGTGTGGTGTGATGGCTGCAGCGTCTCAGACTAGAAGAAGAGTGGTGAGAATAGCAGAGATAATCATCAGGCTCCTATTCCTACCATGAAAGACATTTCATCCCAGCACTGCATAGCATAACATCCCAAGCCCATAACATCATCAGCGGCCCCTCACACCCTCACCATGGACTGTTATCAATGCTGCCCTCTGGGAAGAGGCTTCACAGCATTGATGCAGGTTTGACAGACTCTGTAACAGCTTCTTCCCCACTGCCATCAGACTGCTGAACTGTTAAAAAAAACTGTAAATCAAGTCACAGACTTTATTTCAGGAGGGCTACTGGAGAGTGCCCCTCCTGGGGACTCCCTTGTTCTTCAGTGAGACCTGAGCAGGCGTGGTTGGAAGGAACGGCCCAAGTGACCTGAACTCGAGTGGTATTCTGTTTTTGGACTTCTGTGCTCATCATTAATTGTCCATAATGAACACCATGTTGAAGCATAATGTGGTAATGTGGCTTTTTTTTCTTTTTGAAGTTAATTTCATGTCTTATTTTTCTAATTTGGATTTTTTAAATTTTGTTTTAAGGTGACATTACCACTCATACCCGGACACACCCACAGCAGCGGCACAGGTGTTTTCCATCAGCCAAGCAGCGTGCAGACTGGGGCATTGGTGATAAACAGGCAGCTGTGTGGTTGAAGGGATGGATGCCGGACAGGGGGGAAGGTCTGGCAGAGTCCCCCATGATAAGGAGCTTTAACTCCCCTCTCCGGGAGAGCTTCGAACACTTTCCGAGGGGGGGGACATTGAGTCTGAGTGGACCATGTTCCGTGCCTCTGTTGTTGAGGCAGCTAGTCAGAGCTGTGGCTGCAAGGTTGTCGGTGCATCTCCCGGCGGCAACCCTCGAAAATGCTGGTGGACACCAGCGGTGAGGGAAGCTGCCAAGATGAAGAAGGAGTCCTATTGAGCTTCATTGACCTGTGGGACTCCAGAAGCAGCTGATATGTACCGACAGTTAAGGCTACAGGTGGCTCGGCTGATTACTGAAGAAAAAACTCAGGTGTGGGATGAGTACAGATAGGCCATGGAGAAAGACTACCATACAGCCTCGAAGCGATTCTGGTCCACAATCTGGCATCTCAGAAGAGGGAAACAGTGCAGTACCAACACTATTTATATTGGGGGTTGTTTGCTGCTGACCTCAAATCGGGATGTTGTATATCCGTGGGTGGAGTACTTCGAAGACCTCCTTAATCCCACTAATACATCTTCCATTAAGGAAGCAGAGCCTGGGGGCTCTGGGTCAAGTTATCCCATTTCTGGTGCTGAGGTCACTGAGGTGGTTAAAAAGTACAGGACACAAGGTGTCTGGCCAGGACAGGAACTGGGTGCTAAAACGATTGATTGATCGATGACGGATATTTTACAAAACTCCTCATCCCTCATCTGTTGTATCAGAGTGGATGTACCACCAAGGCTCAGCTACATTTTACACTCAGAGCTCATTTCAAAGAGGGATGCAGTCATTTTTGCCGGCAAAAATGGACTACGGTTCCTGAGACTGCACCACATGTAACGTGATATCCAGCCAGAATTTTAGGTCTGTCTGTTGCATCCAGACTGAGGTTCAGGAAAAGAGAGAGACAAAGATTTTTCTTACTGGATGAAAAGCACCACGGATGCATGATCCAGGATGTGATACCAGAGGGACAGGCTGCATAAAAAAAAAGCCGTCAGTCGGTATTGCTCTATACGCGTCCATCCATCCATCCTTCCTTCTTATCCTTCCAGGTTGTAGCAGGCCTGGTTTCTATTTTTAGCAGTTATTAACTTGATGCAGGCTTTCTTGATCAGGTTCCAACAATCAAGGCAGGAATAGACAAACTTTAGAGGCTAAGTTGGTGACATACTGTAGGGGATAAAATAATCTTTCTTTTTTCCTGTGTCAGTCCTTTGTTTTTCTCTGGGCACCATGTGACTCGGTGATAGAGCAGCTCCATCATATTCAGAGGCTCCTGACAGACACTATAGCTGTTTCATGTAATTTATCAACATATAAACAAGTTTATATGTTGATGTTTTATAGTAAAAACATGTTTTTCAAAGTACTAAATGTTCCAGCCTTTCTTATTTCAATTTGCTTTAACAAGGCTCTTATCCTGCAATTCAGATTTTTTTTCTTTTTTTACTACAAAAAAAAAAAAACATTTTTTAAATAATTTTAAATAATGATGGTCTGTTTTCCATTTGTTTCCACCAGCATATAAATCCACAGCCTCACTGACAGCAGGTGATGAAATAATACCACTAGGGGGCAGTGTAACACTGACCTGCTCTGTGTCCAGCTCTACTGGCTGGAAGTTTGACTGGTTCAGACAGAAGTCAGAGTCTTCTGGAGCTCAGCTCATCAGAAACAATGAACAGATGGAGTCATCAGCATCTCAGAGGGAGGTCTATACAGCTGCAGAGGAGGAAGAGAAGGAAAACGAGGTGTAGTTTTCTTCACTGAAAAAAGCTGTGAGGTCACTATATATAAAACTGGTGAATTTAGTTCTGTGTTGTGGAAAAAAAAAAGATATTTAATCATTAATTCTGTTTTTCAGCCATGTTGATAATACCAGTTTATTGAGAACTAAAATCAGTGAGACAATAATTATTTGTCTTTAGCTTAATTTCATGATGATGCTTTAAAGAAAAATATTTGTTCCTGCTCATGTGATAAACAGATGTTTAAACAATGTTTTTTTTTTCAATGTTGATTACTGTTTAAAGGGCTTTATGTCAGTAATGTCTGCCTGATGGAATATTTTGGTGTTTTTCATATATGTTAACAGTTCCTGTTATACCCACTGTGATCCTTCAACCCAACTGGCCTCAGATATTCAGAGGAGAGACAGTCACTCTGAGATGTGAGATCCATGGAGGTGGAGGAGCTCAGTGGACGTATGAATGGAGACCAACCAGCAGAAACTCTCCAACATCCAGTGAATACAGGATCACTGCAGCTGACAGAGGAGAATATAGATGCAGAGGAAGAACAGATGTCTTTACAATAACAGAGTGGGGAGTCCTTAGGTTAGATGTGTCAGGTGAGTTTTTATCTTTCACCCATGTATACATTTCATTAGGGATTTGAACATATTTAATATGAAAAATATTTTCCTTAAGACTCCTCTATAGGTGAAAATAAGCTAAGCATTAATAAAACATGACAATATTTGCCCATCACATTTATATTTAAAAGCAGGATCTGCTTCTAAGCTCAAAAACATGTTTCATGTTTACATGAAACATTAAGCAGCAGCTGAAACAAAATGCTGAACATCGCTGCAAACTTGAAAGGAACAAAGATATGTAAATAAAGTTTAGGAATGATTATAAAGAATAAAAACATTAAAAGATACAAGATCAAAGTTAGTGTTACTATTGGTAAAAAACAAAAAATAAATATAGTAATTTTTGTATGTTATAAAAGCAGGCAGTAAATGAGCCTCTCAATGTGCAGGACTAGTTTATTCCTAAATGAGAAGCAGCAATAGAGGCTTTGCTCTGATCGTCCTCTTAGACCTTGGTTCCTGCAGGAGCTGCTGTTCAGCCGACCTGAGGGGCTGAGAAGGATGGTAGGGATGAAGAAGCTCACAGAGCTACTGTAGGGCAAGGTCATTCAAATATTTTAAAATAAAAATAAGAATTTTAGAATGAACTCTAAAATGCACTGAACAGGTCATGTGTTCTGTTTTTGGAGAACCAGTTAAAAGACTAACAGCAACTTTTTTAACCAGATACAGATGAGAGAGCAAAGACTGACTCACTCGACCATTGAGTCCATAGGAGAAATCAAAGCAGGATGAAATAAAAGCATTGATTACTCTTTCAAAGGTTTGCCTTGATAGAAAAGATTTAAATTTTTCCAATCCAATTTACCCCAAATCAACTTCTGTTTAGCAAATAAACTGCATTCATAGATGTCTTATAGTGCTGTTTACATGTCCTGGGTGTAGACATGTAGACTACATGTCCATGTTGCCAATTTACTTCACATTTCTCTCAAACCTTCTTTTGTGTCTAACACTGTCTGTTTGGCGTCCTCTTCAGGTTAAAATGGGGTCACTGCATCTAATTTGTTAGTGTTGGCTTCCCAGATATTGGCTCTGTTCGAAGACCTGCTGCATCCTCCAAGGACGCGGTCTACCTAGACTGGATCCTTCGAAGTCCGTGAAAATAAGGACACCGGAAGTGTTTTGGCTGTGAATTCGAACAAGTCTACCCTTCGGCGGGTTTTACCGCCATATGCTCTGTTGCTTAGCAACCGTGAACGTTGACACAAAAAGCAGGAAAAGAATGAATACCGAAGTTTTCAAAACTGTTCGTTTATTTATTTATTTTTTATTATAAAGTGAACAAAGACTACACTCAGAAGAATACAGAGTTGAATAAAGGAGCCAACCACTGGGAGCAGGAACAAATAAAAGCAAATGTAATGATAGAAACCTTGGTCATTTAAATAACATGCTGCTGTCAATTTGCACATTTCTGATGTTGCTGCTATTTTAAAATATCCATTACTTTAAAAATGTCCATAGCTGCATATTGGTTATGTATTCTCCAGTTTTATATTGTTAGAACAATTTATAGAACTGTATTGTTTAGATTTTAACTCTTCCATATTATGTTATTCTTATACATTTTTCTAAGGTCCACATTTGTTTGACCATTTTCAATAATCTTTCTGCTGCTGTAAATTTGCCCATTGTGGGTCAATAAAGGGATTTTCTATTGTATAAAAGGGGTAGAAAGATATAAGCACATCTAAACAATGTATGTATAAAAATATATCTGCAAAATCTCTAATATTCAACAACAAAAAATACTTAGTTAAGCATGTTGTGCAAAACAGCAATAAAAAAATTAAACTTGTATCAGATTTATAGTCCCTACACTGCAGATCTATTAGAATCTGTCTTTAAATTACAGCCAAATCCATTTACACAGTAACAGATAAAAACCTTTAGATAAACTAAACATTACCGCCGCTTATCTGACTCTATAACCATTAAAACATCTATTTTTATTAATTTCAGACGGAACTATTCACTGACTTGTATTATATTAAAACTTCAAATTTTCCCCACTGTTCGGCGCCAAGTAACCTTTCCTCTGATCACAGAGCAAATCCCGGCTTGCTTGGTCTCGCAATGAATCCTGGGTGAACCAAGGATACCGAGGATACATCGGACCCTTCCTTCAAATCAGGCAAAAAGAAGGACGCATTTTAAGGCCGCATAACGAGGACTCTTGGAATCCGACCAGACCTCAGCGCCACGCTATGACGTAATCGTCCTTCGAATCTGGCCTTCTAAGGATGCCTCCTAGGTTTTCGAACAGAGCTACTGGGACCTCTCCCAGATAAACTGCAGCTCCACCCTAGGCAGCTACTCTCTGCTTACTTATTCCTCCTTCAGAATAGTTCACTTAGGAACCTTCAATAAATTTAAGGAACTAAACACTCTTGGAAAAAACAAAATTTTTATTTTTGATAACTTTGGAACAAGAGACATAAAGTTAATGTTAAATCATATTCTTTAAGCCTAGAACAATGAGGCCCACTGCATCTGTTCAATTTTAATACATTTTCTATTTTTTGTTTTTATCTCTTAACTGAAAATGAAAATACATCCTATTTTTTCCTTTAAAATTTTAAAAGAATATGTATTAAACTCAGATAAAAAGAAGTCTGAATGTTGCTGTCAGTCTAGTTTTATAATTTGAAATCAGTTCTGTGTCAGTCGGTCAATTAATCTAAACTGGTGCAGTTTGTAGCCCTGATACCTTGAAGGAAAAAGGTCCTGGGTTCAATTCGTGGACTAGGGTCTTTCTGCACGTTTGCTTGTTCTCCCTGTGCTTTTGTGGGTTCTCTTTGGGTACTCCAGCTTTCTCCCACAGTCCAACAACATGACTGTTAGGTTAACTGGAGTCTCTAATTTGCCCTTAGGTGTGAAAGTGTGTCTCTGTGTTGCCCTGTGATGGACTGGTGACCTTTCCAGGGTTTACCCTGCCTTTCATCCATAGTCCCACTGTAACCATGATGGAGTAAGAGAGAGAAGATGGATGGATGGATGGATGGATGGATGGATGGATGGATGGATGGATGGATGGATGGATGGATGGATTAAAATTGAAGTCAATAGTGTCAAAGGCAGCAGTTAGAGACACAATCAGAAATTCTGCTCTGATATCACAAATCTGTTATTCTCCTCGGATTCTAATTTCTGATGACTTAGAAATATTTTCATTTATATAATTATTGCAAAGTGGAGATACAATACAGAATATTTGGAATTTGTCACAAAAGATCACAAAGTGTTAGAAGATAAACATGTACTGAACTTAAACAGTTTATATTCTGGAGCTTAGAAGATAACTTGGAATTTAGGTTTATTCTGTGAATCAACATTATGTGAAACAAGTCATGAAGTGTGCTTCAAATAGAATTGAATAGAATAGAAAATCCCTTTATTGTCCCACAATTGGTAAATTCTGGTTTTTACTGCAGCAAGAAGATTATATATTAAAAAAAATGGTCCCACAATTGTAGTCCTTACAAAAAATTTATAAGATAACATAATAGTGAAGAGTTAAAAGATAAGCAATAAAATACTGTACTGTAAAGTGTTTTAACTAATATAAAAACTGTACACCTGGAGAATAAATAACAAATATACAGTTATGAATATTTTTACAGTAGATAATTGAAAATAGCAGCAACATCAAAGATGTGCAAATAAATACAAAATAAATAAAAACATAAAACATATATACAATAAAACAATAGTATAAGACTAGCAAAAACAATAAAAAGATTATAGCATTAAACTTGTATTAAAACCTGCCTGATAATACTGCTCAACTGGAACAAAAAGGCGATTTAAAATAATTGTATTGTTCACCTTTTCCCTGAGTCCTGGTTGTTTATTGTCATGTGTATACTGTATATATTGTGAAGCCTCTAAAAGTTGTGGTAAGAAAAACAACTGAGATAAAAAAATAACACAACTTTAGTAGATTTGATTGGTGATTGGACTTCTTCTTTATTCTAGGGAATAAACACCCTGACAAAATGATCAGTAATGAAAATCTAAGTCTAAAATGTTGAATCAATCAGCTAATATTTCTCCCACCTCTCCTAAACATGAAGGTAAAGAACTTTACATTAATCAAACAAAGGATAAGAATAAAATAGAAGAAACTATAATAGATCATGACTGGCTCTGACCATCTTTGTCTCCATCATGGCTGAGTCCTGGAGCCTCAGTGACTCCAAGCTGTGGGGGGTTGGAGCATCCATCTGCAGGATGGAGGTTCTTCTGGTATAAAGTGGTTCCAGCAAAATCCAGCAGCTCCTACAGCTTAGAGCTGCTGACTGGCAGAACCAACTGGATTGAACAGAACTCCTACCTCATTAATGGACAGAATCACACAGCAGGATATGTGTGCAGAGCAGGAAGAGGAGAACATTTGAATTGAGAAAGCTTCCTGGAGAGGTGGCGAAACGTCTTCAAATCTTGAAAACCAAGTCCAGTGGATATTTTTTGAATTTTTACGGAATGACTATGACCTGGATGACTGAGAACCTTCATCAGCATGAAGAGGAGAACCAGTGTTTTACACTAAATACAGTAAAGCAAAGTTTGTCTGGTCTGCTGGTCAGTTTATCTCTGTTCATTCAAGGATCCTTGTGTTTTAAATTTTTATTATTTTTCAACAATTTGCATTGCACCCATAATGCTGTCAATTATATTTCCAATCAGTTCAGGTTTGTCAGAGTTTATCTGAAGTCTCCTTCAGGTTTTATCGGCTTCTTCTCATCTACCTGCAGTCCATCAGTTTAAGTCTGAGTGTATGTCTACGTTCAGGGGCTGCATTGATTGAAGGCAGCCATTCTAGGCTGAGTCTGTTCTTTTACCAAAGATTCCTTTGAGTCATAGCTTATCCCATGATTCCTTGCAAATTAAAGTGGGTTAGTCAGCCGGGGGCAGCAATAGCAGACGGACAAGGTGGACAACAGTTGCAAAAACTGTGAAAAACCCGAAAAAATGCTTTCCATCTGCCAAGAAGAACTTTTCAGACATTTTTAGGGGGAATGTAGCTTAACCTCAGCTGAGAAAAAAGTCCAGATCAAGTGTGAAAAGCAGAACAAAATGTTTGATGCCAAGAGGGAAACAGCTGAGTAGCACTTAGAATAAATATGAACTTTGGTTTTCACTGAGGCAGGAGCTGAAGCTGCCAGAGTTTGTTAGATGATGGTGAGGCTGAACAGCAGAGTTTATGTCTATTGATCACAATTGGTAAGAAAATCTCTTCATGCTTAAAAATAACAAAGTAAACACTATCAGGATGAATGTTTGGTATCTATTGCTTTGTTTTAACATGAATATCTGAGGTTTAGGGTCTTTGCTAAAGATGGTGATTAGGCCCCTTTGATGTTTATTTTTCTGTAAATCACATCTTTTTACAATCCCATTAAAATTAGAGCACATTTTTCAACATAACTGTTAAAAAGACGTAACACTAATAATTTATTATCATTATATTTTTATCGTGCTTTCCAGACTTTCATCCAGCTTCTTCTCTTTTAGTGACTCCAGACAAAGTTCAACATTTTATCAGTCAGTCTGTCACTCTGAGCTGTAGTGGGAACAACACTGAGTGGAGACTGAGGAGGTTTACAGAAACAGGTGGACTATCAGACATTCACTGCTCCAACTGGGGGACAATGACTGGATCCTCATGTACTATAAACACAGACTGGTCTCACAGTGGAGTGTACTGGTGTGAGTCTGGATCAGGAGATTTTAGCAACGCAGTCAACATCACTGTACAGGGTAGGTTATGATTTATATTTCCTTTCATCTTTTCCTGTGTTTTCACATACTGTAAAAGCTGCAGATACTGTGAACATAACATTAATATCCAGAGACTGATATGTTGTATTTGCTCTCCAAGAAAACTTAGAAGTAAATAACAAAGGTACTAAAATATTTTCTTCTTTCAAAATCATTCAGCTTAGCTTCCTTCTTTCACTTTTCTGTTTTTTCATGGCTTTGTGTGTAAGTAAATGTTTGCTCCAAAGTAGTTTTTAGCATAAATGACAGATACATCTTCTCCCTGTGGAACAGAGAACCTGAAATACAGTTTATAATAGATCAATAGAGGAAAAAAAAGATTTATTGCAACTTTTTTAAAACAAATAACACTTCACAGAAAATGAAAACATCATCTCTCACAATCCATTTCTTTTAGAATTAGTTTAATTTAAAGCTACAGTGTGTAATTTTCAGCGACATCTAACGTCCAGACTGCAGACCGCAGCAACATGAACGTCTCCCCCCCACCGCTTCTCCCCCCCAACAGTACGGCGAGCATTACGGGACAAAATGTCTTCCACGACGGCCGCATCACCTACCTTCTCAAGTGATGAGGTTTGTTTACATAGATAATTTTACAGATAGCATTTCATTAGTCTGTGTAGGGTATAGATTTCATGTAGACTTAAGATAATAAATATACCCGTTATTTTTTCTACATCGTTGTGACGTTTTGGTGAGCTGCTTTGCATGGTGAAATAAACAGACGAAGTAATTGTAGTCATTAGTTTAACAGCGAGATTGTGTTCGCTGGAAGAATATATATTCCCCGTTTACAGAGTCCAAGTCTTGTTTGTGGCACGGGGGTTACAAGGCGAGGAAGAGGGCAGAGACTAGAGCAGAGGAGGAAAGGCTTGAAGGAGCCGGAGAGAAGTAACCGAGGTATATATCCGTAGCTCGCTAATATGCAGCTTCATATATCTGTCTCTCTCACACACGCCACTATCAGCTGTGGTAATTTTATGAAGCTGTGGCCTTATCTAGGTAATGCTACCAGACATCTTGACAACAGTTTGGTTGAAACAGGATGTGGGGGTGGGGTATTACGTGTATAAAAAGACAATTGTGTGTGTAGGATTAATTACCTGTCCAACAGAAAACTGGCAACTTGAGCGTCACTTTGAAAACCTTTTTCCTCCATCAGTGACTTCCATCGTGTAAATGCCGTGCCAATGTTGATCCGTGTTTTTTGCCGTTTCTTGTCACGCTTGCGTTTATTCTCGTCGTGTTTCCGCTTCTTAGATGACGGGGGTTCGGTGTCCGCCGCTTTTCGTTGTGATACAGAGTAGGCATGATCCTCCATTCGTCTGATGTTTGGCCACACAGTGCCAAACAGTTTGCAAAGTCACTCACGCCTGCCGCCTTGTTCACCTTTCTTGTTACTGAAGCGCAGTGTACCTGCTTCTTCTTCTTCTTTGGTTTCAGGCAGACTAAACGCTTCTCAGGCATAATACTGCCATCTACTGTTCAGTACCGTCTCAGTTCATCTCTCTCAACTTGCCGTAGTTATTTTCGAGCGTAATGGGAGATCTTGCAATCGCTAGTTTGTTGCCTCTGCGCTTGCCGTAGCGCAAAGATGTCTGCCTCCATGGCTGCGAGACCCGCTCCTATGTAATTATAAATAACGAATTCTAAGGCAACGCAAATATTATGGTTAAAAGGCTGAGCTCATAGGTGATGATAAATAACATAGTTATGTATAATATATTCAATTTCTGACTTTATATCCCTGTAATTATTACACAATGTAGCTTTAAACTTCAATGTTGTCTCACCTGTTCCCTTTATTTATTACTTTTTATAGATTATTACTGTTTCTTTAATATAGAAAATGTGAAAAATACGTGAAAAGAAATGCCTAAATTTTACCTTCAAACTTTAAATCATCTCATCTTTACTATTACTGAAAACGTCTAGTGATCGATTAAAAGAATGTAAATTATAAATGATTAAGAACAATGAATGATTTCTGAAAATATATTCTTAGTAGATCTTTAGAAAAAGGATGTCGGTCAGTTTAACTTCAAGTGATAAATAACTTAGAACTACTTTCTAAGCCCTAAACCTAAACATAAGCAAAGATTGCAACCAAAACCTGATATTCTGACTGTTTCACAGATGAAAATAACGGTATCATCCTGTTGAGCCCCGTCCATCCTGTGACTGAGGGAGATCCTGTTACTCTGAGCTGCAGAGATAAAGAACAAAAACTTCTCTCCAATGTGTTTTTCTATCACAATAACAAACTGATCCACAATGACAGCAGAGAGGAGCTGAAGATCTCTGCAGTGTTAAAGTCAGATGAAGGTTTCTACAAGTGTGAACATTTAGGAAAGGAGTCACCACAGAGCTGGATGGCTGTTAGAGGTGAGAGGATGAAAACACTTGATGGATTTTTTTTTTACTGAGGATGTTTATGAGAGATGATGTTTGTGATGTCTCACAATCTGCACATAAATAAAACCCATTCCATTTCCATTTTCCTTATTCCCAGTAACTTCATCCAGTCCTGTCAGCTCTTCATTTCTTTTGCTGCTGACTGTTGGACCAGTTTTTGGAATCCTTCTCCTTATTCTCCCACTTATGTTGTGGCGCTGCAGATGTTCCAAAGGTCAGATCACGTTCTATCAGATTGTTCATTTAAACAAATTTAATTTGCATGTTAACTTAACAGTTAACATGCAAATATCCAGAAAAAACAACCAAAGCAGCTACAGTAAAGCACAATATACTGTAGACAAATAAAATATGGAATCCAATTTAAATATACAGAAAAATATTTGATCTTCTGCTTGATATATTTTTGCTTTGAATAATTTTGCTTCATAAATGCATGGCTTCAATAGATATTAGAGTACTGTACAAATAGCATTTCTTTAAAATAGAACCAACAACAGCCACATTATCTTTAATGTTAAAAAGCTGGTGTTTTATGCTTTGTTGAATTAATCTATTTATACTGCAATATTTTCTTTACAGTAGACAATGTCCTTTATGCATCAGTCAAACCTTCTGGAGTCACTGGATCTGGTAAAGTACATCTATTCAAATCAGAAACAGTCTCAATAACTGTTTACAGAATAACTAATCTAATTTCTCTAAAATCAGGACATAATTCTGCTGCAGAGGAACCCACAGAAATCACATACTCCGTTATTCCATTAAAAAAACTTAGAAAAAAGAGTGAGTTCTAAACAAACATTTTACAACACAAAACAATAACTCATTGATTTCAGACTTCATGTTTTTTTTTGTTGATCATCTGATGAACTCAACAGACAGACCTCGTGAATCAGAGGATATCGTTATTTACTCTGAGGTGAAACCAGGAGTTGCAGGTACAGTCAGTCTTTATAGTCTTTATATCTATCTATCTATCTATCTATCTATCTATCTATCTATCTATCTATCTATCTATCTATCTATCTAGTTTTTCTACACTTAAGTACTCTCTGTATAAAATTACAGTTTTCTTGACACATAACAGAAAAACAATAGAAATTTGTATGTTTTTTAGAGGAGATAAAAAATATACATGGAGCAACAGGGATTTTTATAAAAATGTCCTCAATAATCATTTGAGTAAGTTTAAACTTGCAGTAATCGTTCCTTTTGATAGTTTCTGTCATGATGGGATTAGATGTGTAACCCATATGCAGAAACACACGGAGGTTAGCAGAAAGTTCAAAAAGGTTTATTGACAAAAGGTGTAAATAAAATGTGAACAGGAACTTGGGTGGTCAGACTGGTCACGGCTGGATCTCCACTGAGGAGGACAGAGAGGTTGGAGGAGTTCCAGGTAAGATGATGGGGGGAATACCTTTTTAGAAGTGGAACTGATCAGCAGGGGGGGGGGGGGGGGGGGTGACTTGGGTCCAGAGGCTAGTAGGCAGGCAGAGGGCTGAGGGCTAGCAGAGATTAAACTGAGTGCAGGCAGGCGGAGAACTGAGATCTTGGCAGAGGCAAACTGAGTGCAGGCAGGCAGATTCCAGGTTGAGGTCTCTCTCTTCAGTGTTTCAGGTCTCCAGGCAAGTCAGGTTCTGAGAGACAGGGAGAAAACAGGGTCAGACAGGTTCACAAGAATCAGGCAAGATCTGGTAGACTGGCTCAGGTTTTGCTGGTACCATTACTGGCAAACACTCTGGCGCTGGAGTGTCAGTCTCCTCCTCCTTAAGTAGGAGCCTCCTGATGAGCAGATTGAAGACAGGTGTTGCAGTCAGCTCATGCCCCCGGAGATCTAGTGCGCCCTCTGGTGGAGAAGATGGACACAGCCTCCAGATCCCAACAGTTTCATCCCTCATATAAAGCGATAGTTTGTAGATAATTAACAAAGGATCATACTAATGTAAAAAAGGTATAGGTAAGAACAATGGTAGAAAACCAAGAAAGGTAGAGTCTGCACTTAGCTTTATTTCCAATGTACAGTATACTTACTGAAATCATTATAGGTATTGCGTTTATTGAATACAGTATTGTTACTAGAACTTCCCTTTATAGTTCTCCAGTTAGCATGCATGTTTAAACAAATGGGTTTTATATTTATTTAATCATTTATATGGTACAAACTGTGTACATGGGCTGTTCAGGTAAGTATGACCTTAGAGATCAGAGTCCTGGTTGTTGATTTACCAATAATATAATTTATATATTACATAAATTGTTTCACATAAAATTTTTTCTTTCATAGCCAAGAAGAGCCCTGCAGCAACAGAAGAAACTGTTTATTCTGAAATAAAATCATGAACAGCTCTGAGATGTAGGCTGCATGCTCTGCTAGTTTGGTCTGCATGGTTGTTCTTTAGTTACAACATTTGAATACAAACTAGATAAAGAATTGTAATTATTCGATATTCTTAGAAGTTCATACACAATATGCTAAAAATATACTCTTTAGGTCAGATCAACTTTCCCTTTATGCTTAAGTTTCTTGCTTTTGATGTCTATGAGTATGAGTGGTAATTGTACGCACATGATCTAAAAGAAGTTTGACATTGTTGAATTTTGATATTTGATATTATGCATTTACAGCATGTCTTTCAGTGTTAAATAAAAAGGATGCTTTATGGGCAACAGTATTAAAAAAGCATATTTTAGATATGAAATTATGTACATATGCTAGTATTGTTTTGCACTCTGGACTTAATATTTTTCCTATTGTTCTTTAAAGTACTATTTTTTATTGGTCCACACTACTAAATCTATAAAGAGAGTCTTCACATATATAATTTACAATTAAAACATCCAGGAGAATCTTTCTTCTCTGAGATTATCAACAATATATTATTAAGGCACAGTCTACAGGTTAAGAAACCCTCGTATCTCTGTGGCCATTGAACTCCAATCTTAAAAGGCCTGCAAGTTCTTTGCTGAGAAAATACAAGGTATTATAAAAGCAGTCTGTACATCAATATCCAACTCCATTACTAATGCTCTAAACAGCTAGAAAGAACTCTGTTAAAATGCCTAAATTCTGCAAAGTGAACTGCAGAAGTTTAGAAGAAATTGTTCACCAGATCAGCCCGTCTTCCTGCTGCCTTTATGTTTCTACCCATTATTTGATTCAAATCATAAACACATTCCTTATGTTGGCTGTTTTCCTCCAGACCTTAAAAACAGCATGGAAACCATCATTGAAAGAGAGAAGCCTGGAGAAATTGGTCTTCTCGAAACCCCCCTTCGTCAGTAAGATTATTAAAAAAGTTGTGCTTCAACAGTTAAATGTCCTTATAACGTCGAAGGGAAAAGGCTGTTCCAAATGTTGCAGTTCTGAATTCTAATGAGTGGTGCACGACTTTACACGAGTAAATAAAGTGAATTTGATTGGTCCTTTATCAAGAGGTTGGGATTGTTATGTTCCAATTGACCCATAAGCATTCTGTGTGCCCCGAGTCCACAATTTTCTGTGTTCTTCTCAAGAACCTACTTGGCGAGGACATGAGTCCATACTCGTGTTCTTGTGAATTGAGAAATGTCCAACAATTCGCTCTCCAACTATACAGCTGTGACGGTCACCACTACTCTGCAAAGGGTTATATATTAGCTGCGACATATAAATCAAGATGCTATGACCAAAAAAATGTGATTGACAAATGACCATTGATATATGATTGGCCAAATTTAGGCTTTCAGGCTGACGTATAATTAACTGGCCTGCATAAGATAAGGAAAAACCCCCCACAGATTTTAAGACAGGATTTTTATTTTCAAATAGAAATTTTCTAAACTTTGACTCAAGAGTACATACTAAAGAGTACATTTCTATACATGTTTAAGCCAGAATGATTTGACATTTAAATATAATTTTCCTACAACTTTAACATTAACCAGCATCTTTGATGTCTTTCAGTCAGATTTCCGTACCAAACACAGCACAGAGACTGCCCTGATTACGATGACATCTGTATAAATTCAGACTGAAAGAACCACAGTGCTGATTATTGGACCTCAATGCAGTGTTTAACGTATGCATTGTTGTTGAAATTTTGTTTTGTACAGCTGTCATGACATTTCAATTTTCTTAAAGTACAACAGTGATCAAATGTAAAAATTTTTGGAGAAAACATATTGTGCAAAAAAAATTGATATTTGACATTAATATAGTCAGTTTGAAATAGAGTTTGTGACATGATTTTGTGTTTTTTCAACATTCAGCTGTCTAAGGGGAAGTGGCGAAGAAGCTTTTCGCAATATGCTGAACTTGCATTGAATGCTGCAAAGGGTTGGGTAGATGCAAAGAACAGATCAATACATGGATGTGCAATAATTTCTCCAACTGTATTAAAACTAAACTGGGATATCAAGCTTCTGACCATACATATACAAGTAGGAAGCTTCCTCATTTAGCTTGCCTAAAATGCTGCAAGAGGACATGAAAAAGAAGGCTATTTCCTATATACCGGTAAGTAACACATTTTTTCACCCTCAACCAGCAAGATGAATCATTTTATTTTTTTCCACTTTTCCTGTGGTTACTGAAAGACATTGAGCCAAACAATAAACATTCCAAACATACTAAAGACCTGGTATTAGTATGTTAACTTGCTGATGAAGGTAGTTTTTTTTTATGATCATTCATACGTGGCGTTCAAATCCATCCTGAAAGACTTGTTATGTGCTTTACAAGTTATCATTTAAACACACTTTGTCTGATTTTTATCAGACATCTCAAATACATTAAAACAACAGACCTATACTACCATTTGTACTCCTTCATCAAAACTGAGTTTAGTTTTGTTCACACTTTTTCAGGCCATAAACTTATTTGCGATGCAAAGGAAAATAAATGTGACTCCACAGAACTCAGGGTAAAAGCTGACAGTAAAACAATTTCTACTAGACTCTTGACAATGCACAACACTTCAACATTG